GATAGGATGTAAAGCATGGCTTAGAAGCAGAGTGCTTTGTTTATTCCTCATTATCAGAGGACTGTAGATCTTGAATCCATTGCTAAGGTTATTTTTGCAAGTAAATAATCTGCTACTGTATTCTGTGCTTGGTGGTAGAATGCACAGTGCCTAATAATTTTTTTTTAAGATTTTATTTATTTATTTGACAGAGACACAGCAAGAGAGGGAACACAAGCAGGGGGAGTGGGAGAGGGAGAAGCAGGCTTCCCGCCGAGCAGGGATCCCCATGCAGAGCTTGGGGTCATGACCTGAACTGAAGGCAGGTGCTTAACGACTGAGCCACCCAGGCGCCCTGTGCCTAATAAGAATTTGTCTGGTCTCTGTCCCAGTCCTGGCACAGAACTTCTAGCTCCCTGGTAATTTCTTAAGTAATAGGAGTGTTATCCTAATGAAGGAAAGATGAGCCCCTATATAGCTTCGGGATAGGGGCTGGTTACCAGAGGGCTTGAGCCAACCGGGCCTCTCGGAAAGGGAGGAGGTTAGAGATTTGAGTTCAGTGATATGGCTAATCATCAAATCAGTCCTGTGTACGCAGTGAAGCCCATTAAAAAGATACCAAGGGCGCCTGGGTGGTGCAGTCAGTTAAGCCTCCCACTTTCAGTTTTGGCTCAGGTCATGATCTCAGGTCGGGAGATGGAGCCCTGAGTTGGGCTCTGCACTGACTGCTTGGGACTCTTTCTCTCCCTCTCCCCTCCCCCTCCAAAATAAATAAATAAATCTATAAATCTAAAACAGAAAACAAAAAAAAACCCTCCAGATACTGAAGGTTAGTGGAGCTTCTTGGTTGATAAACACATTGTGTGTGTGTGGTGGTGGCAAGTAACATACCCTGATTCCACAGGACAGAGCATGAAAGCACTGCATTCCCTCCCAGACCTCACCCGTTGTGTGTATTCATTTGTCTGGTCCTTCAGATTTGTAGCTCTTGTTTTGTTTTTGTTTTTAAGATTTTATTTATTTGACAGAGAGAGACACAGCGAGAGAGGGAATACAAGCAGGGGGAGCGGGAGAGGGAGAAGCAGGCTTCCCGCCGAGCAGGGAGCCTGATGTGGGGCTCCATCCCTATGACCTGAGCTGAAGGCAGACGCTTAAGGACTGAGCCACCCAAGCGCCCTGATTTGTAGCTCTTGTAATAAAACTGCAATCACAAGTAATAGTGCTTTCCTGAGTTCCATGAGTTTTCTAGTGCATTATCAAACCTGAGAATTATGGAAACTCCCAAATGTATAGCCAGTATGTCAGAAGGGCTGGTGGGCTGGGGACCTCTTAAGTCAGGGCAGTCCTATTGGGGTCCATGCCTTTTAACAAGTGACGTCTGTGCCAACTCCAGGTGATTAGTGACAACTAAATGGAGGTACTGGGTTGAAACAATAACTGCTGTATACTCTTGGTTTCCAGTGAATAAACTTCAGTAATTAAAGTGTATTTTAGTGTTAGCTAAATATAGTATGACTCTTTAATTTTGATGTGATCAAGAATGAAATATACTGTGAATTTCTTAGAAATTCAAAGTTTACTAGATTGATATTGATGTACTTTTATTAATATCTTGAGGGCGCCTGAGTGGATCAGTTGCTTAAGCGACTGCCTTTGGCTCAGGTCATGATCCTGGAGTCCCGGGATCGAGTCCTGCGTCAGGCTCCCTGCTCGGCAGGGAGTCTGCTTCTCCCTCTGACCCTCTTCCCTCTCGTGCTCTCTATCTCTCATTCTCTCTCTCTCAAATAAATAAATAAAATCTTTAAAAAAAAAATCTTGAAACAAACTTTTAAGATTACCAGGGTTCACGGTTTTTTTTATTGATGATTATTCCTCAGTAGGGTCTATGAATTTTCAGAGATCCCAACTTCTTTTGCTTGATTCCCTTTATGACCAGCAAGATTGCTGACTGGATATAGAAGTTGTGTTTTTAGAAAGTCTAACAGGCCCATCATGGGTTAAAACCTATAGCCTTAATTAGTAGCTAGTAGTGGATATATATGGCTTCTTCTATGAAGAATAGAGAGCATCCATAAAAAATGGGCAAATTCTGTCCCATATTTAAAAAACTGCATTTATTATGTATAGGAGCACAGTAAAAAGCAATCTAGAAAGTTACCAAGGAATATAATGCACGATATAGTCAGGGACTACAAACATAGTAGCAGACTTTGTATTTTAACGTATTTCAAATGCTTTATGGGAGTTAAATTTTGGGGGCTCAGTCTTTCTAGAAGTACCCCTTTGCACTCTGGTATATTAGGTAAAAATATCTGTCACATTTCTTTTTTTAGTTATACATTATATTTTTAAATATATGTGCTATAAAGTGGGCTTTGAAATCCAAATTTGATCTAATGGTCATTCACATTATAGCTTTGCATGAAGCAGATGCACTTACTTCACTGGAAGTTTTCTGAAATATTTAGACCATGGGTAATCTGGAGGCAAGGATAAAATAATTGAATATCTAAATTTACTGAAAAGATTTTTGCTTATGTATAATTCTCTGTAAGTTGACTTGGAATAGCTTTCATATTTTATCCTTTTTTTTCTTTTTCTCTGGTAAAACCAGAAACAGGAGCTATATTAAGTAATTAAACTATTGGTAAATATTCCTAGTGAAACCCTAAATGCACCCAAGAGTTTCTACCTTAATCAGGGCAAAATAGCCTTTAGATGAAAGTTAGGCAGAATTGTTAGACCAGTTAATGGATTAGTTTCCTCTACTTTGTATCTCATTTTTGTGAGAGTGATATTCATTGTCAGTTGTAAAGTCCATACTTGCTTTTTTCCAAATGGGGAGATTTTTGTGTCATGGCCTAATACTTCTCTAATCTGCTACTTCTGTATTCTAATGAGTAGTTAGAAAGGCAAAAAATGAGTGAGGTCTGCTTCCTGTAAACTAGAAAGGCAAAAAATGAGTGAGGTCTGCTTCTCGAATTCTTCCTTGCTAGTCCCAATCATAACAATCATTTGCCTCCCAGAAGTGTGCAGTATCCTGGAGGGGAGTATACTGACTTGTGTGCCCACTGGGGCACCCTCAGCCAGTGACCTTGCACACTGCATGGGTGTACGTGTGGGGGCTATTCAAAGGTCTGCTTTGGGCCATCTATCCCTGATGATAAATGTCAGTATACCACCTGGCTGTCTGGAAAGATCCAGATAACCTCCTTGGTGATTTCAGGATTTATAATGGATCAGTTAGTTCCTTTTTTCCTTCGGTCCAGGAGTTCCATAGGCTACCTTCCCCAGCTCTTTGGTTTTTCTCTTGTTGTTTTGTGAAGGGAGAGTGTCCAAAGTTTCTGCAAACCTTGACTGGGATACAGAACTTTCACAGTATCTGTGGGCCAATAGCCCCCTCAGAGTAGAAGTTTTGCCTTTGTCCTGAGATCATTCAGACCTTCCAGGTATAGACAGGAAGATTCCCTGGCAATTAGGACCCTACATTATCATTATTTAACTCTTTAAAGAGAAGACTGAATGTCTAAAAGTTGTAGACGTCTGGGTAACCTATTCAGAAGTTTTTTATACTCTTCAAAGCTACAGTTAGAGAGGTTTAGTGTGAATTTCCTAACAGCCTGTGTCCTTAACGGTCGTAAAACTTCCTCCAAGAGTTGACACTTCCTAGTTAATAGCACATAAAGGGATAGTTGATTAAATGGAATCTTAGTACAGAGCATACTTCAGCTCCTGTTTGCATAGAATGATTTCTTAAAAGGTAGGTTACTTACAAGATTGGATATAATATGATTTTGTCCTTATCTTATATATTGGAATGCTTTTTAAAACAGACTTGATTTTTAGAGGAGTTTTAGATTTTAGAAAAATTGAGAAGATAAGAGTTCCCATATACCTCATATCCCCCCCCATGCACACAGTTTTTCCTGTCATTAACATCTTACAGTAGTATATTTGTTACAGTTAACAAATCAATTGATACATAATTGTTAACTAAAGTCTATATATATCCTATTCGGATTTCCTTAGTGTTTACTTAAAGTCCTTTTTTCTCTTGGTGGATCTCATCCAATATGCCACATTATATTCAGTTATCATGTCTCCTTAGGCTCCTCTTGGCTGTGAGTGCTTCTCAGACTTCCCTTATTTTTGATGTCCTTGGTAGTTGGGCAGATATTCATCAGGTATATTATAGATTGCTTCTCTTGGGATTTGTCTGATATTTTTGTCCAGTTTAGAGCAGAGCTATGGGATCCTATGGTAAGACTGTGCTTAGCAAGAAATTGCCAAACTGGGGGCACCTGGGTGGCTCAGTTGTTAAGCATCTGCCTTCAGCTCAGGTCGTGATGTTCCTGGGATTGAGCCCCACATCAGGCTCCCTGCTCTGCGGGGGGCCTGCTTCTCCCTCTTCCACTCCCCTCCTTGTGTTCCCTCTCTTGCTGTGTGTCTCTCTCTCTGTCAAATAAATAAATAAAATCTTAAAAAAAAAAAATTTGCCAAGCTGTCTTCCAAAGTGGCTGTACCAATTTGGATTCCCACCAACAGTGAATGAGAGTTACTGTTACTTCCTGTACTTGTCAGCATTTGGTATAGTCCGTTTTTTGGACTTCAGCCATTCTGATAGGTGTGCAGAAGTTGGGGTGTAATTTTTAAAGTTGGTCATTTTGTCTTATATTTTGTCTGACTATGGAAACATTAGCTTTCTCCTGATACTTCTCTTCAAATCAGCATTGAGAAGAATATATGTGCTTTTTTCCCATATGAATAACTGTTACAAATGTTTAAATAGTATTTCACTTCTTACATTAAAATACAATTACCTATTCTCTGTGCTTTCTTATTACTAATAGCTTATAAGTTGTATACTATAGGTGTTAAGCTACATTCCATTGATGTTAATGTCTCATGTTTATTGCTTTTGTTTAATTTGTTATTCTCATTTTCCATTCTTCAAAGTCATTTTGCTTTTGTGTTTGTGTTTCTTTGTTTATAAAGTTTTTTGTTTCTGTTACATTATGTAGTTTTGTACCAATGGCTAGAAGCAGATCGTCATGGCAAGAGCCAAGATACTGCAAATACGACTTCAGGTAAAAATAAAAATTAAGGTGTTAGAAATCATTATTTTAATTCACCCCAAGCCCATCATAACTGTTTTTTTTTTTCAGTTTTGCTTGGGCAAAAATAGGTATTATATTGTATTTCTGTTCTTTCATCTGCATCTTAATTTTTGTAAAGAACTCATTTGCTTCAAGCCTTGAAAAAATTATTCACTGGTCTTAAGCTCTCTTGGCAGATACATGCTATTTTCTTAGAAGGAAGGGCTGAATTGCAGCTTAAATTTAGTAGCAGTTTACTTGGCAGTATTACTTGGAATTAAGTTTATATGCATTTGTAGTGGGGAATATTAATATTTGCACAAATTTATAATCCTTGTTCATTTCAGTATAGTGTTTAAAAGGTGGATTTTAAGTAAAGAATGCTTATGTATCATTTCAATTGCCTGGGAACCCAAATTCTTAGACTGATTCATTTCTCCTGCTAAGTCCTCACAGTAAATTCTAAGTTAGAAGTTCATTTATAACATGGGTTCAAAATGAGAAGACTAGGTTGTTCCCCCCACTGCCCATCTCCAAAAGTCATCTTCAGGATTCTCTTCTTTGGCTGGTAATAGTAGTGATAACTGCATCCACTCATGTCTAAAGCCTTAACAGTTATCGGAATTTCTACATGGTTGGTTGTTCCCTTAATTTACTTCAAAATGGTATTTGCCAAGACAGCTATATATATATACAGCAATGACCTTTCCTATTGCCCCCCCTTTTTGGCAGTGTAGTAGCTTGTGGTGGTGGTGGTGGTTCTGTTTTTCTTTTCTTAGATATGTGTTTCTGTTTCATTGAGTGTTTTCATTTTTTTGTTTTTGTGAAATTTTTTCTCTCTGAAAAAGGTGGTTTTCCTTCTCTATCTTCTGGGTGATTCCATTGTGCTTCAGGAGGGTGTGGTGTTGTTCCTTAGTTAACAGAACAATTATATTGAAAATGACACTGTCATGGCTTTTCTGATTTATCCTCTGTCCCATTAATAACTTGATATATGAATGAAGATAATGTTACTATTTTAACCAGACTCAGGCAGGAATTAATTAAAAGGTAAGTGTTGCAAGGAGTTATATCTTGCATTATGTGCTGTTTCTTCTGCCCCCACAGTGTTTCACATTTTATTTACACTTATGATAAAAATAAACATTTCTGGTATATGTTGGTGGGTGAAGGAGAGGCATTCTTGGTTGCTGTATATTATCTGAGGATATCCTGTTCCTGTGTCAGTAGCAGAGTCAGCAGCATAGACCTTTAGAACCAAGAGGGAATTCTTGTTTTGTGTTTTCTGTGACTTAAAGTGAAGTGAAAAGTAGTCTTTTTTATTTTTTAAGATTTTATTCATTTGAGAGAGAGTGAGAGCAAGAGAGATCACAGAGGGCGAGGGAGAGGGAAAAGCAGACTTGTCCACCGCTGAGCAGAGAGCCGAATGCAGGGCTCTATCCCAGGACCCTGAGATCATGACCCGAGCTAAAGGCAGATGCTTAACCAACTGAGCCACCCAAGTTCCCCTAGTCATCGTCTTTTTTTTTTAATGAAGAAGTGAATAATCTAAAAATTCTTAGTGTTTGCATGAGAATCTAGTGTCAGCTTAAAGAATGTCATTTGCCCTTCCTGAAGTCAGGTATTCTGAATCCTGACTCTTCTTCAGGCACACTGACTCATGGACAGTTCCACATTTTTCCATTGACTTTGTAAACATACTCTATAGGCATGTTGCAGAAATTCATAAACCATCCTCAGGGATGCTTTTGACACTTTTTCTTCTAGAAGTGAAAGCTCTCTATTCTGTCTCTTAGAAGATAAATATATGGAGTAGAAAACTAGAGATGAAACATTTGCCTAGATAAGTAAGAGGAATCCAGAGGAAAACAATCATTAACCAGAGCTTGTTAGAAACAATACAGTTTCTGCAGCAAATCTATTTAATAAACTATGTGCCTTTATTCAGAAAAGCTTCTGTGTATTTTATATTGCGGTTTCCAACAAGATTTTAGAGTGTAACTTTTCCCTCCTTTTGTGATCTGTTAAGTTTTGCACTAAAAGGTGTTTTAGTATCCATCTTTTCATATTTTTACCAAAATGATGCCCAATTATGATTTATAAATTACTTGGTATTTTTACTTGTACAAATACTGGTAAGTAGCATTTATCTTTTGATATAATAGTTTGTGTTTTACACAAACTATTCTTCAGTCTCAACTTTTTGACATTGAGAATTTAAGAGCCATCCACATTAACATATTTTATGGAACTGAGGCATTTGGGGGGAACAGGTCTCATGGGAATTAATTTGGTCAAGAAGATAAAGAACTGAGCTGACAGCTATAACTGAAGTTTATTTATATATAATAATCGAAGTATAGCCTGCCTTTATTTTTCCTGAATTTTGACAGGTGATGAGTTTGGCTTGGAATAGCTTGTTTCTTTTCATAGGTTTAGTGTGTCTACTAGACACTCAGTAATGATGTTTCTAATTCTGTTAATTCTGTTACTTGTAAAAGCCTGGATGCAGTCACACTTGTCAAATTTCTGTGGCAGCTCCAGCAAAATTGCCTCCTTTGAGTGCAGCAGCGTTGTGTCTGTCCATGTACAAAATCTTAGGATCAGAAGTATGATTCAGGATGCTAAATTTGGGATGTTTTGTTAATAAATTAGATGTTTCCAGGTAGATTTTTTTATCACCACATATTGAAATGAGGACAATAATTAGGTTACAGCAAAGATTATTTGAGTAGATCTTGATTTTTAGTATAGTTGTCTGCCCAAGATGTTGAAATTCAGATTCTGAAGTTTTAAATGCATATTTTTTATTAACAGTTTCTTTTCAGTAACCTTTCATTAACAGTTCCATTGAGAATTTTACAACTCAGACTGTTAGAGGTAGAAATTGAATCAGATTTCAACATTTATCTGTCAGTATATCTAAAAAATAAAACTACATGCTTTTGAAACAATTCTAAATATCAACTAATTATTAATTATTTGTTATAGGTGAAAACTTTGACCAGAGTCCTTTGAGAAGAACATTCAAATCCAAAGTGTTGGCCCACTATCCTGAGAATATAGAATGGAACCCTTTTGATCAAGATGCAGTGAACATGGTATGTAGTTTTTTTTACTCTTTAGCCTTCTTTTTATTTCGTTAAGATGACAGTGTCTACGTTATTTCATTTGATGTTTTAAATAATTCTTTAAGGTAGATAATATTGTCCTCATAGACGTGGAAATGAAGCTCAGAGAAGTTAAGTTACTTTTCCTACAGTCCCCAGGGCAGATAAATGTAATTAACAGACCCTCAAAGCCAATTTTCTTTGTTTTTTATGTTTTTATTTAAATTCCAGTTAGTTAACATACAGTGTAATAGTAGTTTCAAGTGTACAGTATAGTGATTCAGTACTTACAGACATCACCCGGTGCTCATCACAAGTGCACTGCCCTCCTTAATCCCCATCACCTATTTCACCCACCTCCCCTCTGGTAACCATCAGTTGGCTCTCTGTAGTTAAGAGTCTGTTTCTTGGTTTGTCTCTCTCTTTTTTTCCCCTATGCTCGTTTATTTCTTAAATTCCACATATGAGTGAAATCATATGGTATTTGTCTTTCTCTCACTGACTGATTTCACTTAGCATAATACTATCTAGCTCCATCCATGTTGTTGCAGATGGCAAGATCTCATTCTTTTTTATGGCTGAGTAATAGTCCATTGTGTGTATATACCGCCTCTTCTTTATCCATTTGTCACTTGATGAACACATGGGCTGTTTCCATTATCTGGCTATTGTAGATAGTGCGGCTTTGAACATCCGGGTGCATGTGTTCCTCAAAGCCCATTTTCTTTTCCTACTGTTAAGCTGTGTTTGGGTTTGTATTAATTAATACATAGAAGCTTTGATAAAGAGTAGTATTTCTTTGCTTGGAGAGGATCCTGATAGAAGGAACACGATTACAGTTTTCATATTTCAAGGAATGTTGTATGATGGGCCTGTAATTTATTATACTCACAAAGTAAAGAGGAAAAGGAACTTGAATTCATCATTTAGACATTAGTAGGAATTTGTGTATAAGGAATTTGAATTAATGCAGTGAGTTACCAATGGTGGTTATAAGTCCCTTAAGAGATTCTTAGAAATAGTCATAGTTTTCAGATTATTTAAGGAGGGTCCCAGTAAGAAGCCTGGGTAATACTTTGGGATTCCATGAATGGAATTCTGTGATTATAAGAATCAGGGTACACCTAAGTGAGCAAATCAGATATCAGGCATAATAGGCACAGAAATAATTAACAGTGGACTGAGACACTGATAGATGTAGTTCTTTTTTAGAATTTTAAAGGTAGTAGAGCTTAAAAGATCCCATTATGAAATGATACTGTAATAAGGTAAGGAAATTAATATACAATAGATACCTGCCAGATATCTCATGTATGTTACTTTCACATATGCTGACATGTGCCCAGTGAGAGTTCTTATATTTTACAGAGATTACTAACCCAAAGTTATGCAGGGAGTCTCAGAAGTTAAATCCAGATCATTTTTACTCTCTAGCTCACTTTTTCCCCAACTACATGCTGCCTCCCTCCCCCAAAGAAAAATGATATAACTTAGTTTTGACCTGCACCAAAATGACGTGGGTCACATTGGATCTTTTGTGGTATTTCTGTATCACAGTAAATTCATTCCAGTCTGAGTTTTCTACAAAGAGGGAGTAGTGGTACTTTTTCTAAGTACAGATACCCAAGGCACTTGGCTCTCTGACTTTGATTCCTCACAGAACACAGTGTAGTTATTTCTCTAATTGGAGATGCCATTTTGCTGGACGTTAATACTGTGGGGCCTCGTCTTTGGTGAAGACAGCACCATAGATATTAAGTAGAACACAACTGTTTGTTATATTTATGACACTTGGAGGAACACAGGCAAGCTTCTGACTAAAATTGTCAACAAACAGCAATGACAAAAAATAATTTATCAGCTGCTGTGCCAGCAAATTAATAGAAAAGTATTAAAGAAAAGAGTGTCTAAATGAAGCAATGGAAACCTAGATAAGAATGTAAATAGATTACAACACTTGACTTCTTAAATTAGTAAGGTATTTCAAAGTATAAATTCAGCTGTGAGAAACTAGAATGGTTTTTACTACAGTATGAATCCATAGTCATTTGGAACAAAATGCCACACTTGGTGTGTTTTCTTTCTGTTAATCATTTGAATGCATTAATAGTGAGACATCCATGATAGCTTTAGCCTTGGTCTGTAAAGCATTCATCTTTAAAGCAGGGATCAGCTTCCTTAATCTTTGTTACTTTCTTTCCTCTTGCCTCTGGGATTATGTTATGTAAGCAACCAAAGTCTCCTATGAAGAATAAACACATAGGCTTGTGTTTGATGGTTAAGCACCACATAGCATTTTGGTTATTGCTGCAAATCTAAAAGGAATTGCTGGCTTTCCTTGAAAATCTCTGAAAAGCATCCCATTAAACTAGTCTGCATTTGGGTATAGATTTACTGCCCTTATTTCCCTCTGATTTATTAGTAAGTACATGTGTATGAAGCTATAATTTATTCCCACCTAGAGGTATAAAGCTTTCTTCTTGCCTTTAGCAAAATCCCACTCCCAGCGAGTCATCACCTTCTATAATATCAGTCATTTTTTAACAAGCAACAGTGGTGCTTTGAAGAAGGGTCATTAATCTCATACAGAAATTAAATACTCCAAAGCAATGAACTTTGTTAAATAAAAAAAAAAAAAATTCCATGAGTGCCATGCAAATGTAATAGAAAATAAATAATGACAGGTGAAATTGTTTCTGAATTAATTGCTTTTTATGTCTCTTTTGGTTACTGATTGAGAGATCTTCATGGAAAAAAAGGGGTAGGGGAAAGTATCATAAAACAAAACAATACAACAGTCATATACCCAGAACTGACACATTTCAACATTGACAAATTTGCTTCAGGTCAGTGCTTTTTCTCTTAAATGAAGCAAAGCATTGCAAATGGAGCCAAAGGTCCCCTGCCTCCTCCTCCCCCATTTCAGATCTCTTTGAGGTAATCTGCATTTTGGCATCCATGACTATTTATATAAGGTTCTGGTCAGCAGATCTTATCTTTAAGAATGTAGTGAACCTAGGGATTGTTAGGAAGAAAATATGATCAATACCTTTTTAAGCAGCTTATATGAAATATAAAGATTCTGTATTGTATATCTATTCTAAATGAAACATCTGATATATGATTAAATTTTAAGTAACTAAAAGTCATATAACTGTGGGACGCCTGGGTGGATCAGTCATTAAGCGTCTGCCTTCGGCTCAGGTCATGATCCCAGGGTCCTGGGATCGAGTCCCACCCCGCTTCTCCCTCTGCCTGCCTCTGTCTCTCTCTCTCTGATAAATAAATAAAATCTTAAAAAAAAAGTCATAACTGTTATAAAGCTTTTTATAATCTATAAAGCTCTAAGTTTACAATTTACTATTTACTTTGGTCACAAAAAAGGGTAGGGTGGAATGATGAGCAAAGAGCAAAGGTAAAGGGTTGACTGAAGAAAACCTATTCAGATGCCCATCTTGTACGATTTGAAGGAAAAAGAGCTATATATACTTTTTACGGACTCAGCAAGTTCTTGAATTTGAGATGGATAACCCTTAGTTAGATTAATAGGTTTGACATTAGAATGAAAGTAAGCCCTCATTTTCATCCAAGTTTAAGTTCTCATCTCACAGTAAAACCATAGGAATGGGGCTCTAATCCAGCCACTACCAGGGAAGCCCACTGGTTTTCTTAACTTTGGAGCTAGAATATTTCATGGGCATCTCAAACTTAACATGCCCAAAACTGAATTCACAGTCTTCCCACTAGCCTTGGTCAGTGAATGGTACAGCCATCCACGTAGTTGCCTAAGCCGAAAATCTGGCATTATCCTTGAAAGTTCTCACTTTCTTACCCTCTCCATGTGCAGTCAGTTATCTATCTACTTCTTTCTGTTTCTATACACCCAAACCTTAGTCCAAACCCCCAAACTCTCTTACCTGGACTTCTGCTCCTTTCCATTCTTCACACTAAAGCTTCTGCTTCTGCGGCCACTTCTCTTGGGAGGATTCTTCCACTTCTCCTTCCCCTGGTGAATTCTTACCCTTCAGGTTTCATTTTAAACACAATTTTTTCAGAGAAGCCATCTCTGACCACCCTTCCAACATTCAGTCAGGTCCCATCAGGTTCTCTTAGGACCTTTTAGCACCTTGTACCTTTTTGTAGCACCTATCACAGTTGGAATTAAATGATTATGTAGCTAGTTATCAGCTCTGTGTCTCCTGCTGTAATGTAAGCACCGTGAAGACAGGTACAACTCTCGCTTATTCATTGCTGTATCCCTAGTTTTACACACAGTAGAGGCTGAAGTCATTGAATAAATAAAGGAATGTTTGCTTACTTACAATACTTCCCTTTCCTGTCTTTGTCTAGTCAGGTATTACCTCCCCTGCAAAGTCATCTTAAGCAGAAGTAGTTAGGTGCTCTCTCTTCTCTATTTCTATAATGTCTTGAACATACTCCGCAGCAGCACTGATCGCATTATTTTATAGCCATTAGTTTGTCTTTTTTACCAGACTGTGAACTCCCTGAAGAGATTATTTTTGTATTTGTCTTTCGAATTACCAAGATCTAATGTAATATATGACATAAAGTAAATATTTATTAAAGGAAAAAGGAGGGAGAGAGGGAATGAAGGTAGGAGAAAGGAGGGGCAAATAGACCAACTCTGAATAATTTATCTTTTATTTGTATAATAAGAGAAGGCATGGAAGTCACTGAACTATAGAAGATGGAAAAAGGAATTGTTAAAATTCTAGCCAAACCACCTGAAATAGTCCAGAGGGATAATAAGGACATGTAGTTGCTCAAGGAGGGGGGTACACAGCACTGTGAGCTTACTTTGGCTAAAGTAATCTGATTACCAGTAGCAATCTGGTAAACAGTGACAGCCCTAAATGTTTAGTTGTTTTAGTGTGGGAGAGTGGGTTGGAGAGGGGCTGTTGTCAGTAAAAGTCAGTATTAGGGATAACGAGATTGTTGAATGCCCTAATGAACAAATCTTGTTTTATGTCTCAGATTTTCTGAAAAATAAACCTGACAATTCATCATACAAGAACTCTCACTTTTAAAAATGAAAAGGCAGTAGCATTTTCCAAGTCATGGTTCCCAGATTAGAAATGTAATTCTTACTTTTTTTGATTCGTAAGAAGAGAATTTAAGAATTCTTAACATCTGTTATCTGTAGCATAGAAAGTCATTCTTTACTTTGAGCACAACTTTTGGCAAGCTTTTCCTGTAAATGTTTGAATGCATGCTCAAGAAAGCTACAAAACCTTAAGGGAATATTTGGCAGCTGTGCAAAAACAGTTGGAGCTGTAATCTTGTGGTTTATGATGTCAGGAAAGCCTATCAATTAAATCTTTATTTTGACTTTGGAGGTCACTACGTTTCTGTATTACCTACTACATGTAAAAAGAGAACTATAGACTTAATCAGGAGAGGAGCTAATCTGGTCCTGTACCCCTAGCTGTTGTTTTGTTTGTTTTCTTGTTCATTTGTTTGTTTATTCATTCAACAAATACATATATGGTATGCACTATCCCAAATAAATTTGAGCATAACCTGGAGTAAGAGGGATTCAAATCTTCCTTCCTACAATCTTTATTAACTGTAGTAGATGTGTCAGATGAGTTTTTATTCATAAATCAGCAGAGGATCTCCTCTTGTTGTTAAAGAAAGCAGTTTTAATGTGAAGACATAACTATGAAAAGGTCCTGCCATGGCCTTTCCTTACACAACTATTCCCAAGATGAGTAATAAACAAATTTTCCTCTAACAAAGTCAGGTATTTATGTGTGTTTACCTAACTCTGTGTCTTCTTCTACCCAAATATACGTAGTAATTTAATTCTTTTCAACATATATAAAAATAATTATGTAAAGCTACCTTCGTAATTTCTAGGTCTCATATTCAGTGATATGAAATATAAAGACATTTTCACTGACCTAATAATACTAAACTGCATGGTTTTTGCTTTTTGCTTTTTATATTTATTATCAGTCACCTTTTATGGCCTCAAATAGTATATTGTTGTGTGTGTGGTACTCTTACACGTTTATAGTCATAGAAATATAGCACCAGTCCTTGAGTCACTTACAGTCTAGAGATCCAAACAAAATAGAGAAACTAGAAGTGTGTGTCAGTATACAATGTACATTTGTATACAGCAGTCCAAGACTTTAATTTCTTTCCCATATACTAAAGACTTTCTAGAGAAAAAGTGACATTTTAATGGCGTTTATAGGATGAAAACAGTATTTTTTATGGAATGATAAAGGAAGGTTCTTTAAGATAGTATTTATGTGGAAACTTAAAGAAAATGAGGGAGTGTTTCCATTATTCATTGCTGTATAACAAACCACCCCAGTACTATTTAAGTGGCTTAAAACATGGGTTATGGGTTAGCAATTTTTTTTTCATAAAAGGCCAGATAGTAAATAGTTGAGGCATTGTAGGCCATACAGTTTCTGTCAGTTACTCATCTCTGCTGTTGTAGTGCAAAAGTAGACACAGACAATGCTTAAATGGATGAGCACTATTGTGTTCCAATAAAATTTTATTTACCGAAACAGGTGGCTGATTGGATTTGACCTAAGGACTAAAGTTTGTTGACTCTTGATTTAAAACAACAAAACTGTTACTTTGCTTACAAATCTGCAATTTGGGTAGGGTTTAGCAAGCACCCTCTGCTCTACTGGGTGTCAGTTAGAACCTTCTTCTGAAGGTTCACTCACAGATACATCTCCAGGGCTAGGAACATCGCCAGGGAATCCTCTATCTCTGTATGATCTCTCCATATGGTCTCTAGCATGGTAGCTTCAGGTTAGTCACATTTCTTATATGTTGGCTCAGAGCTCCTAGTGTATGTGACCAGAGAGAGAGATGGAAGTTGTACTGCATTTTTAGCCCGAAAATGTTACTTGTTACCTTCATTACATTTTACTTGACTAGGCCAGGAGTGGGCAAACCAGCCCTTAGGCCAAATCCAACTGGCTACCTATTTATAAATAAAGTTCTATTGGAACAAAGTCATGCCCGTTCCTTTATGTGTTGTCAGTGGCTGCTTTTACACTACAATGGTAGTGCTGAGTAGCTGTGACTAAGATTTTAAGGCCTGCAGAGCCTAAAATATTTATTATCTGGCTTTTTTACAGAACTAAGTTTTCAGGTCCTTGCTGTAGGCACTCTCAGTGAGCCATCCATGGTCTTGATGAGAGCGTGGCTATTGTGGACATTGCTGCTATAAACATTGGGGTGCAGGCGCCCCTTCGGATTACTACATTTGTATCTTTGGGGTAAATACCCAGTAGTGCAATTGCTGGGTCGTAGGGTAGCTCTATTTTCAACTTTCTGAGGAGTCTCCATACTGTTTTCCAGAGTGGCTACACCAGCTTTCATCCCCACCAACAGTGTAGGATAACCTCCCCCCATCTTCCATTCTGTTCCCCACCCACAGAAAACATGTGTCACTTCCTCAGACCCTCATGTTCTGTCTTGTGGGCTTTTGCACATGTATCCTCTCTGCCTTCTCTTCATCTCACTAACAGCTATACTCATCTTCAGGTTTCCACTTAGACTTTATTTTTTTCCGGTAGCTCCTTCTTTTCTAATTTATGTCCTCCTGCTGTGTTTTTTCCATGGCAGTCTGTATTTACCCTTTCATAGCACTTCCCATACTTTATTTATAGTTTATGATTTTTTAGTCATCTGCCGTCCTTACTGGACTGGAAGCTCCATAGGAGCAGGAACATGTCTGTCTGTCTTTCTCACCTGTGTCACCATCATAAGGCCTGGCTCATAAAGATACTTAATAAAATGTTGACAGTTTGAATGAAGGCCATGTAACTTTCAAGGTGAATTGCATTTTCTTAGTAACGTGGGGAGAACTTCTAAATTTCACATCAGATTGATTGTTAAGTCTGAAAAAGAAAAATGTAATAACTGTGGTAAAATTATTTCTATGCAGAAAGCATATTGCAGTACAAAAATAGTAATACATAAAAATTAATAATGATCATTATGTTAGGATAGTTAAATTACAAGTTTTTTTCCTTAGTATATTTCAAATTTTCTGTAATTTGTTTTCTTAAAATGTTTTAAAGAATGAATTCAAATTGCATCTTGAGAATCTTAAAGATAGTATCTTCAACTCCTCAGGTAATTTTGTTCCCAAGTCTGACTCAATCCTGGGTAGTTACCAAGACCTAAAGCATAATATCTACTGGAGTGAATCTAAAATGTCTTTGTTTCTACTCTTCTGCTTCAGTAAATCAAAAAATCATTCCATTTTAAAGTTTCTGTTTCTAAGATCAAGTATCATATTGTTCAAAATAGTGAAAATGATACTATTGTTTTTATTTTTTTTTCAATTTATCAAATGGGCCTTCACCTACTTCCCTATTCCTCTGAAACATTACCATCATTGCTCCAAAAATGGTACTTAAATATTAAGTATTTGTAAAGTGTCTTTGACTGTTTTGCCTTCAAGTCATTGATTAGCAAATGTAGATAAAATGAGGCTCAGAGAAGTCACATGCGGCGCTGAAGGTCAGAGGCTTGGATAAGAGGTTTGCTGGGAACAAGTCAAAGATCTTTCCATTCTTAGTCTTAGTCAACCCTTCTGCATGTGATACACAGTAAAGATGGTTCTCCTTGTCTATATATATTTTAAAAATAATTTTATCTGTGTGTCAGTGAGGAACTTACAGTGTATTTCTAACTTAAGGCTGCTGCTAATAATATTAAATATGCTTAAAACCTGTGTCCTTTGGAGTCCTGTTGTGTTAACAACAACAGACATTCTCTCTGGTTTGAAGTTACTTGTGTACTGCATTCTGATACTTTTTCCCCCTTGCTCCACAGCTGTGCATGCCTAAAGGACTATCTTTCAGAACTCAAACTGACAATAAAGACCCTCAGTTCCACTCATTTATAATTACCCGGGAAGATGGTTCTCGTACCTATGGTTTTGTTCTCACTTTTTATGAAGAAGTTACAAGTAAGCAGATCTGCACAGCCATGCAGACGCTCTACCAGATGCACAACGCCGAGCACTACAGCGGCGTGTATGCTTCGTCTTCCTGCAGCATGGATTCGCTGGCAAGCAGTGTTGACGAGGGAGATACAACTTCCCTTTTGAAACTCCAGCGATACAACTCCTATGACATCAGCAGAGACACGCTGTATGTTTCAAAAAGTATATGTTTGATCACACCGCTGCCTTTCATGCAGGCCTGCAAGAAATTCCTTATCCAGCTTTACAAGGCAGTTACCTCACAGCAGCCGCCGCCCTTGCCGCTTGAGAGCTACATCCATAACATTCTCTACGAGGTACCCCTTCCACCTCCAGGGAGGTCACTGAAATTTTATGGTGTTTATGAACCCGTCATCTGCCAGAGACCTGGGCCCAGTGAACTCCCCCTCTCCGATTACCCTCTTCGAGAGGCCTTCGAGCTTCTGGGATTGGAGAACCTGGTGCAGGTGTTTACCTGTGTTCTTTTAGAGATGCAGATCCTTCTCTACTCACAAGGTAGGTCTTCCCTGGATTTTAAGTCTCCCTCAAAAAAGTTCTTAGGAATCCCAACGACTACATTTCCATGGGGAATATTACCAGAACCAAATAATTAATGGTCAGAAGTCTTCTGTTTTGTGTAAAAGGAGCACCTGTTTAAGGTGGGACCAGAGGCTAAGATATTACTTCTCTTTGAGGTGTCGGTGGCTGTGGAGAAAAACAGGAAAGCGTACAAAAGCCTTAATCTGGCTGACTTGAGTGTATTTATTTTTTAATGGAAATGGCCCTTTTTTCCAGATAGTACCTGATCATCATAAAAAAAACACATTTCAGGGCGCCTGGGTGGCTCATTTGTTAAGCATCTGCCTTCGGCTCAGGTCATGATCCCAGGGTCCTGGGATCGAGCCCCACATCGGGCTCCTTGTTCTGCGGGGAGCCCGCTTCTCCCTCTCCCACTCCACCTGCTTGTGCTCTCTCACTGTCTCTCCTCCTTCTCTCTCAACTAAATAAATAAAATATTTTAAAAAAAAGAAACACATTTCTTTTCATAATGGAAGTGAGAGAATGATGTTAGTACCAAGAACATGTAGCTGTCTCATTCTTTGCAGATGAGAAAGGTTCACATCAAAACTCAGTTGACATTGGAAAGGCATAAATGAAACTGTTGACTCTGAAGCTTCCTAAGGCAATCAACTTTGGATCTTTGCCTGTGGGAGATTTCACTAGATGTGACTCTCTTGGGTCTAACAGCTCTACTGGAGTTATGTGGAGTGTTTTTGTTTTATTTTGCTTTTATTCCCAAAAGGAAGTTACCTTTATGATGTTTTTTATTCAGCGTTCTCCCAGCACATACTTAAGAAACTTAACAAAATTTGAGTTTTATTTTAGGAGTGCATTTATGATGGCTAATTTTGAGCTTAAACTTAGGGTACTGGTTCCGATCTGAACATGATTTTGTAGAGGAAATAGAGATGCTCTGTCTTAATGGATAGTGAGTTGAAAGAAAACATAAAATGGTTGCTGCATATTGATTGGTTCTTTGAAAAATGTGGCACAAATATTTGGGTTAGCTTTTTGCTGACTTGTATTTAGGCTAGCAGAATTGTAGTGCAATCTCCTGACTGCTGCCGTCAAGCTTATTTTACCACTTTCCTTTTTTTCTTTTCTATTTTAAATTATAAGTGAGGCTGAGCCAAGTAGGCTATATTTGTACTTCCCCATCTTGTGTGTATGTTGACACTATTTGTGTGTTGACAGCCCTTCACGAGGTTGTATTTTCTTCAGTTTATCTTACATAATGTTCTTTGATAATGTGTTCTGATGCCTCTGTTTTTATTGTCAGGAAGTTCTCTAATGACCAACTGAAATTCTTTCCTTTCCTCTTGCTCTCACTTTCTTAGGTCTTAGCATTACCTGCAGATCACTTGTTTGTATCTAAAACATGTAGCTTTAAGTAATTCTCTCTTCCTTTCTATTTCCTCCTTTCTTGCTTTTCTCCCTGAAGCCAGGGTAGGGGTTAGAGTTGCTGGAAGGGGACAGGGCTTGTAACTAGATACCCTCAGGTGTATTAACCTATGAGAAAAAATAATTTCAGTCCTAGATTTACAAGGGATCTTCAAGGTCGTTTAGTTCAGTTTTGGTTCTGCATAGAGAAGCAGTTTGGACCAGAAAGAATATTGGTTTTTGAAGTCCTAACAATCCTAGGTTCAAATATCTGCTCTGTCCCGTACTAACTGTAAGCATAGACAAGTTATGTAATCTTCCTCAGTGTCAGTTAATTCATCTTTATGGAGATAACAGGGTTTTTTCCCTCTCTCTCACTGATGTATTGTGAAGGTTAACTAAGAAAACCTGTACAGGACACTTGGGGCATAACTGGCACTAAATGATAGCCGATATTATTGTAATTATTACTAGTTTTATTAGTCCTATACAATCCTCTATAAATTATGTATATTTTAAGTTGCATGGGTCCAACATATTACTGCATTTAAAGTATAGCTTTGTTAAATTAAATAGTCAAGGCATTTGTTTTCAGGGTTGAGGGCCTAATAAATGTTCTCTTATACTGAATGTTAGGGCTTTTTTTTTTTCTTAGCCAAAAAACCCTTTCATTATCACACTTTCTCTTTTAAAAAAAGCACTGTATGTCTCACCGCGTGTGGTCTGTCCCGAGCTCTCATCTTTCTGCTGTTTGATTAGCTTATCCCCCCTGGTTCATGGAAGCTGTTGAAAAGTTATAGTTGATTAATATCCGCCAATTTAATTCAGTTTCAAATGAAGAAGCATGAGTATTTATGAGCATGTTTTTGTACTAAATGAGGTGTTTTTTATTGGTTTTGTGGGGGTTTTTTTGAAATTTGGTTTTATACAGGGAACAATAGATGAATCCTGAGATTATAGGTGTCTGTCTCTCTCTCCCTCTCCCCAACCCACACACATTTTAAGTGTCCTACCAAAGAAAGTCTCATATGGTAAATTTATAAGCATTCACTGAAATCACTCTGTGTTAGGAATTGTACTATAAAAATGCCGTGTATGTTGTTTTGGGGATTCTTCTCTCTTCAATAGTGAATTACTGCTCTTATCCATGTTTTATGAAAGGGAAGTTGAGGCTCAGGGAAGCTTAGTAACCTTCCTGAGATCACACAGCTATTAGGTAATGGTGTAGAGCTAAGAATGGGGCTTGGATCTTTCTTTCTCCAGAGCATTTAACCACCATGTTAACTGTATTGAGCACGGCACTTAACCTTTCCTTATCTGTCTCAATATTTATTTTTAAATTATTAACTCACCCTGCCAATCTGTTATAAAGGGATCATGCTAAATAACCGTAGAGTATGAAATGAAAGCTCTGTGTAAATGAAGATTTTAATTTTGACAATGTCTCTCCCATTAGAGAAAGAGATTTCATTTAAATGAATGAAATAAGAGTTATTATGTTGATTTGTACTCTGGTGCCCTCCTTCATTCTTCCCTGTTAAGGGGGTTTTAATAACATCTAATACTCCAATTCTTACTAAGAAAGCCATGCCATAAGATTTAAAACATTGTAAGTGCTAAACAATTACTGTGAAAACCCAAAGTGAATCAAAGTAGATGGATTTTAGTGATGAAAATTGTCCTTCTAGACTGATTTGAAATTCTGGTCCATAGCCCATTTAAACAGATTCAATCTGCTATTTAGAGAGTGTGTATATCACACTCACTTTGTGGTGGTTAACTAGCTAGAAATTTTAAGTAGAGAATGCACCCAGGAGTTAGAGGCTCTTTTCCAGGACCCCAAATCAGAAAAGATCACTTTCTTTTGTACCCTGGAAATACCTGCAACAGGACAGGGGAAGTTTGGATACGATCCTCTTTTCAAATGAACAGTGGTGAAATAAAAGATGGGTGAACTTAACATGAGTGTCTAATTTTTGATACCAGTAATTAGTCTCAGGAACAGTTTTGGGGCGTTGCTTACCTTCTTTGGTTCTCCACAGTGGAGATAAGCAGTTACCCATAGCTCACACTGGACTGACACGCCAGCCTGTAGGCCTTCACAATGCCCCTCTCCCCTCTATTCTTCCCCTCCCTCTTCTAAGTTGTGCATGAATTAACCTTGTCAGAAAGTAGAAGCCACTTAACGGTTTTCTTGAAAAAGTGGGAGGCCTCCTAATCACAAATTGCTAGGTGTGCTCAACTGAACACCATAGCTTATTGGTTATAGGGTTTCATAAAAGCAAACTTGGTATTTTGATGGCAGAAAGTGGGTTCCCATGACCTATATCCTAAAAGCAGTAGAGTTTGACTAACTTTGGCCATTGTCTTTATATTAGCTTTATTTTGTGATAAGTAGAATTTTAATATAAAGACTCTTGATGTTTTGTTTTATAGTCAAGAAATTAATCCTTTGTCAATTACATGTGTAGCCATATCTTCATCTAATTTGTGGCTCTTAATTTTCTTTTAGGGGTCTTTGAATTAAGATGCTCTTCATATTCATGAATTTGAACTTATCAGTCTTTTAACTTATAACTTTCTGTTTCAGAAATTCTCTATTCTGAGACCATAAAAATAGACTGCATTTTTTTCTAAATGTTTTAAGTTATATTTAGCATTTAAGGCCTTACTGTATAAGAAACTGATTTTTTTAAATTGATTTTTGCTTGTTGTAAGGAAGAAATCAAATTTAATATTTTAGAAATATCTATAACTAGTTATTGTAGTTATTGAACAGACCCATTCTTCCTTCCTCTGAGCAGGAGTGCCACTTCTGTCATATAGAAGTTCCTGTATGTGAGAATATATTTCTGGTGTATTTCAGTTTATTCTGCCAGTCTTTGTTCCTATACTAAATAACTATAGCTTTAAAGTAAGTCTTGGCATCTGGTAGGACGGTTCCCTCATTACCTTATTTTTTACCCAAGAAACAGACTAATTTATTCAATATACATTTTTCACATGTGTCTATATGTACACTACAATACAAAATAATGACATCATTTTAGCACTTAGCTGAAAGAGAGCATTCAAAATCATTAATCCTTTGAATCTATAGTATCATCATTAGAACTTTGTAACATAGATAATGCTGTGTTACAGATAAATCTACCTTCTTTGTTTGGAATTGCATTGAATCTGGGCGACTGGGTGGCTCAGTTGGTTAAGCGACTGCCTTCGGCTCAGGTCATGATCCTGGAGTCCCGGGATCGAGTCCCACGTCGGGCTCCCTGCTTTGCAGGGAGTCTGCTTCTCCCTCTGACCCTCTTCCCTCTCGTGCTCTCTATCTCTCTCATTCTCTCTCTCTCTCTCAAATAAATAAATCTTTAAAAAAAAATTAAAAAAAAGAAGGAATTGCGTTGAATCTAATTTGAGGACAATGACGTATTTAAAATACTGAGTTTTCCCTTCCATGAAATGTATCTCTATTTCTAAGGGTCTTGTTTAATGTCTCTCAGTAAGGTTTTACAATAGTAGATAATTACAAATAATGACAGTTTTTTCTCTTCTGTTCCAATATTTCTCACTTTATT